TTGATTTGATATAGTGATTGGTTGTAATGCTTTACCTACAACTTGTCTCCAGCCATGAGAAAGACAGTTGAAAATCCACTTCCCTGGTGCCCTACAGCTCAATGATTCTCAAAAGGCCGGCTTTGACTGTGTGGTTGGTCTTCTCATCTCTCCAGGAGGGAGTACAGTATGAAAGGTTAATGTAGCATAGGGAGGAAGAAGGACTTTGGTTCAAGTGATTTAAGGAAATGCTGCTTCAAACTTGTTGAAACCCTGGAGAAGGTCACACAGGAGTCAGCACTTAGGCCGTCACACTTTCTGATCTGGCCAAATGACTGACCAAGAGGCTGGATGTAAATCTGTTAAATCTCACAGGACAGGAAGTATGCTGGCAAATGCAAGACAAGCAGCTAGAGGACATGAGCGATTTTGTGTGGATATCCCAGTGCATTGCATGAAATGTAATTCTGAGCATTAGAACTGCTTTTGTAACAAAAGTTATATTAGCTGCAAAGTTATGAGTCTCATTTAAAAGTCTGTCTAAATTAAAGGTTCCAAAACCAACCTTGAATAAAACTGTATTAATCTGAAAAATTTCTAAATTATGGACTGTCAAGCAGAGGGTTAAAATTTTTTTTTCTGTTTTAATAGAGGAATATAAGCCTAGGACATGTAATGTTGAAACACTGTAGCACTTTGTCTCTCATTTTTAATGAGGAAAACTCACTCCAGCAAGTCTTAAGTATGAGGACACTGAGTTCTGCAGCCCTAAATTTTTCCACAGCATAAATTACAGTATTACATATTAAAGGAAGAGAAGAAAATTTGAAATTAATTAAAATAACTATTTCTGAACAGCTTTTTGTTTGAAATTTCTGTTATATTTTGCAAATCATTGATACAGAAAGGAAAATTTAAAAATTACACTAGCTACAGAAGTAGTTTATTATATAAATGGACAGTATAGAGCAACAACAATAATACATATTTCCACTCCAACTTTTAGTTAACTTCTGTTACAAATTTGTTTACTCAGAGTGAACTGCAGCTTTTAAAAGTAGGGATTTTCAGTGGTTCAGATTGTAAGGACTTAAAGTCCAACTTTCTGTGGGGAATTAAAAGACTTTTTGAAGTGGCAGAGGATAACTTCAGTGGAAGATGGTGAGTGGATTTTCTGATTGTTTTCATTGGGAACTGCGCTATTACAATTGATCTTGTGATATTTTTGATCCTGTGATTCTATAGCCCGTCTTTCCCTTTCCTGAGTACTTGAACTTCAAATGTTTGTGGATTTGAAATATTATATCTATAAAATATATATATATAATTATGAATTGGTTTTATGCACACTTATTTATAATAGTTTGTGTATAAATTCGATAATTATAACTTGGCTTTAATTAGTCTCCACAAGTTAAGTGACATGAAGGTAGACCTAAATTTTGGTGAGTCAGTAGTACTCTGATAATAAGGTAATGCTCTGATGAAGCATATGGATAGAGTGGTCTTCATTAGGATACGTATCTGCTGACTGAGACAGAGACAGCAAACACATTGGCTGGAAAATGGTGGGACCTGTATAGGTTGGATGCAGCCTTCTCTCTGCTGTTTTCTTCTGTTTGGGGTGTTAAAAGCCAAGCTGCCTTCTGCTTGTGTTGCTGCCCGTGAAGGGCTGAGATACACCAAGGAGAGCTGTAGTTTAAGGATGGGGACAGCCCCATCTAGCAGCCCATGCTGCCTCCTCCTTCCCCCCCAACTTGCAGCAGGAGCAACAAGCCCTCAGTGCTCACCAGCTGTTTGTCTTCCCTTTAGCTGACCATCTCCAGTTTCACAATGAGCTGAAACTCTCATTCTTGGAGCTGTAAAATTCAGCTGTGCCTGTTCCGCTGAAAAATCCTATCTCTGCTAATAAGAATGGTAGAAGATGACTGCATTATTCTACAGTTTTGTGTGTTGATGTCAGACACTGGGCTGTTTAAGGGGTTTAAATGTTTATTTGTATCTTTAAAGACTGTCTTAGGATTTGGAGGTGAAATTCAGCAACATCGTGTTTGTTACAGGCAAGGGTTTTGCTTTTTTAGTAGTAAGGCATTTTAAAAGCAAAGTGCCGTGTTTCTGTTAGGTATTCAAAACTTGTTACCTAGTTTTCTGAGGGCCCCATATTGTTAAAATTAAGTGTATATGATGCTTCTGTGGTCCACTGGGCTTTATGTTAAGGTTCAAGAACTCAGTTTGTTGCTGCTAACCTGGAGTTGCCCTCAGGATAATTAGAAGTGCCCCCATCAGCCTGTCACTGCATAGACTTGTGAGGCCTGCCCTCAAAGACAGCCTAGTTGATTGCCTGCATGTTCCAGTTCCATGAATGATGTACCTTGGAAAGCAGAAGGAGACGAGGTGGAAATGCATGTTCCACGTTTACTGAGGATGTTTCCTACCCTCAGAAAGACCACAAAATGGTGTTACAGAAGGATTTGGGTTAGGCTTCTACTAGTTGTCTTCTTAAACAGTTGGAGACTCTGGGAGGAAGG